TGTTCGAAATTTACGCCATTTAAATAGAAAGTACATTTATGAATTTAGATATTTTCCATTACATATTATCTAATCAAATTTGAACCGGACTGGTCCATTTGCATTGCGCGCGAAAAGCGCAACCATAATTTTTTATATTCATATAAAGTTTGATCTCCATATGTCAATTGGCGTGTGTTTGGCAGTTGTCTGTTTATGTTGCGAAAAGTTTGTCTGCCGAATTGCAACATTCAAAAAAGAATTGAACAACGAGTTTGCTTGTTTCCAATAGATGCATGGCTATGGAATCGTTGAAAATGTTGCAGAAATATTTTAAAGAGTTTACTTTAACACGAACACAAGTATTTGCATGGCTTAAGGCATTCAGTGAAGGTCGTGAAGCCATCGAAAACTTGCCTCATGTGAGTCATTCATCCTCCTCTATTAATGACGACAACATCGAAAAAGTTAAAGAAACAGTGTTTGAAAATCAACGTGTTGACGTCAGAGAGATAGCAGAGATTCTCAACATATTTTATGGATCGACTCAATATATTTTGGATAATGTTATGGTACTAACCGTGTTAATACTAGACTAGTAGCAAAGAACAGAATACAAGCATGCATAAGAGTGTTCTATTTTTTTCGCAGTTGGGGTCATACTAATTTTTTATAAAAAAAAAATTTTTTTTAGTTTACTTCAAGTTTGTTCAAAAATTACCAATAAGCTCGAGAGTCTAAGTTGTTTTACTTTTCGGAAAAAAGCGTATTTTGCAACCCCGAATATCCTAAAAATGTTGTGTTGCTACAGTTCTTTCCACTGTTATATATTAAACAACTTATCTTCTGCCATTTTAAATTTCGAACTAGAAACTCTAATATTAAAGCACTATCGAAAATCATTAAAATTAAATAAAAAGTGTACAACAAAAAATTCTGCATGTACAATCAACCAGTACACATTTATTGATGTGTGCCGCTGTCCCATAACTTTTAATTTCACTTGTGATACAACCTATAATATATATTATATTATTTCATTATTATTGCCATGTTGAGGCGTTCCCCTCACAAATGTGTATGCGTGTGTATGTGTATATGTGTGTACAAAAAAAAACAACTACAAATTGTAGGCTTCCAAAAAATTTACAATGCTCTGCGGGTGTAACGATCTTTATCGGCGTTCCGGTCAACTCAACAAAACCTCTACGCGAGTGTGAGGGCAACAACTACGTGCACATGGTAATAGTATACATAACATACAAACACACACGTAAATATTTTACTTAACGGCGGTAACCGCAATCTGTGCATGACACTGCAGTACTCTTGTGATTAATGAGCAAAATATTTTGTGAAATACCAGCGATGAAATGTCAATACACATACCCCTTCATATACTCTATATTAACAAGAATGAAATGAATAAACCTTAAACACAGGAATTTATTTGAATATTTTTATATACTCCTATACATGTATGTTGTATTGACTAAAATTTAAGTAGAAACCGGTATACCCAGTAATAGGCCCAGTATAAGCTAGAAATCCCATAATATATATTTTTTTAAATTTTCTTAAAACGTTAAAATAAGTCCTGCAAAACATTTTAGTTCAATTCAATCAAAATGAAAAGTCGAGCTTTGAAGAGAAGCTGTTCAAAATTTATTCATTTCTCTTCAAACTATTTAAAATGTCAAAAAAAACTATGCTCCAATTCTGAGTAGTTTCAAAAAAAAACTCGACTCTTCGCATTTAGAAGCGATCCACTGCATGGCTCAATGCAGTGATAATTTCTTCTCTCTCAGCATGGTAGCATGATGACGATATTATTTGTAGGGATTGTGTTAGACTTTTAATCATATATAAAGATAATACTCTATTTTAAATCAAGTTTGTAGAGTTAAATCATGACTGTAGCTCAGAAAACTCTACACAGTACACGTTACTCCCAAATAGAGCAAAAGCTTTTATCTTGAAGCATTACAAATATGCTCGTTTTTATTAGCTCTCTCCACATAGCTCTAATTCACATGTCTAAATTATTACGTATTAACCCTAACTTTTGAAAATTCTTTGTCAGAATTTATGATTCAGCAAAATTTTAAAATAATTTCTAATCAAAATCTTCTTAATTGTGAAAGTTTCTGTAATAATCGCTTTCCATCAATGGCAAACTTCCGTGAGATGTGCTGTCACGAAAAAGCTTCCACTAAAATTTATTGGTCGTTCGGCTTGCCTCAAAAGTTCCCCCAAGCCTTCCGATTCGTTGGACTACATGAGAGTAGTTCCGCTAAGCATTTAGTAGTGGTGTAAGCAGCCTTTCTTTTAACTACTTTCCTCTATACACAATTTTTTTCGAGTTTAAGGTTTTGTGTTTATGATAAACTTATTTTTATTGACGTGTTTAAGAAACACCGAGTTTAGTTTAATATTTCAAGTATGAGATTAAATTTTCTTTTAACCCAGTTTTGTATTTTCATAAACGCCAACGTAAAAGTGGTGTTTAATTCGTGTTAAAGGAAAACTAAACTAACTACTACTACTAACTAAGATATTTTCATTTAGCAATCGCCTACTGAACTCAGGGCTCTGCTAAATTTTAATATCGGCTACTTGCTTTTACTGGGTTAATTCGCTCCGTTTATACATAATACAATCACATGCACCTATGTAAGTACTCCTTGTAGTATATATTTTTTTAGTTTTTAGCGGTTCTTTTTAGGATTAATTCTCCAGTATTAAGTCGCTAAAGTAACACAACATTTTCCCAAGGACGTTCGCATGTGTGCGAGCGAAAAAAAGGGTAATGAACTCTTGCCGACGCTGACAAATGTGTTTCCCGTTTATGAGCGCACAAGTATGTATGTGTATAGGTTTATGCATGTGTGTGTGTTTTTTTAGCCAGAAAACCGCAGGAAGTGTGTAGCAAATTTAAATACTTTAACATTTCCTATTAAATATGAAGCAAGGGTTGGAGTTTGACTTGTACTTCTGATGAAAGTGAAGTTGTTGCTTTTGTGAGGGAATAGAAAGAGTCAATAAATACTGAGTGTGAAATATGGAGACAAGAACTTACATTTTTTCGCCACTTTTATAAAATATAGTAAATAATTAGGTATCGGTCATTACAAATACAAACACGTATCCTTTCAAAGCGCTGTGATATCCATGAAGTCGCGCGCATATATTTATTATACTTGTATAAGGAAACCTGCAAATTCTACTCTGCCATTGCAATACTTCGCTAACAATGCTGGAAAATCTCGCAGCTGAAGCAAAATTAACAACAAACACAAGAATTATTAAAGGTCAACGTATGTGCTTTAAGCTTTGACTGCCTAAAAGTTTGTAGGTATTTCAAACAAGTAAAAAAGGGTTAAATTCGGACGAAACGAATGTATGCCAACTGTATCAGGGTAAAGTTAGAACGAATGTATAAAAAATATAAAATTTTTAAAATTTAATATAACCAGACCTATGAATATGCGCAAAATGTAAATAATATCCGCTTTCAAGAAATGTTGCAACGGGTCTGAACTTCTAAACGGCCAAAAACTGTCCTCACAACTGTCATCAAACCAAGCTGTCCAATTGAACTCATGGAATCGATGACTTTGAATATTATGCCTCCAAATAGCGCCAAACTGATCGACAGAGAAATTTTTTAAAGCCAACCAAAGACTATAGGGCTATTTGCTGGATACCGCTGCTCTAAACCTATCTAAGAAAGGTTTTTTTCTGTCATAACGTCATATATGTAAGTTCTTAGTTTCGTTATGCAATACGCGAAGCGTTCGTTGGCAGAAATGTTCAATTTAAAATCAAACTCTGGAGCCGTAATTCAGATGCTGTAATTTGGAGGATGGAAGAGGTTTTCTTTCGATCGCAAGTGTCTCAATATAAGATTTTATGTATATGTCGGTATGCAGAAATTCAAGAAGTGGTGAGCGATATACTCCTAACTTAAAAGTTTAACCTATCTATGGACAATGCCACGCATATTTAATGAAATATCTACATTTTTTTAATCGAAACTTCACTTTTCGTGAGAGCATTATTTCTGCCCACATCATTGCAACTGACCGTGCTAAATATTCCTCCATTGGGTGGGTGAATTCACGAGAAATTTAATTTGTTGCAAAAATGGTCAGATTAAAACGTGCCACATTGTCGTGTTTCGTTGAAAGCAGGAAGAAGTAATCTACGCTGGCGGTGGCTGTGACTATCTTTCTATTGTTGTTGCCACAGTTGCAAATGCACACATTTTCCATCGGCATCGTTTTGAAACTAGGTTATTCGCTTCCAATCGGCAAAACGAATTCTATCAATTCATTGAATCTGTACGAAAACTAATCGCTTACGTTTTTGTTGTATCTTTTTCTTTTTTTTGTCGGTTTCGAAGCTATTCGTGAATTGTTTGGGTTTTTTGGCATTCGCTAGACTTTTGCATGCCAAAATTGCTGGCCTAGATTAATGCGCGTGTGCGTTTATTTTGTATGGCATTTGAGTGGAGATGAGTTTGGTAGCCGAATATCGGTTCTCACAGTTTTTTAGAGTCATATAATTTTAGAAAATGTTGTTAATATGGATGTCATAAGCAAAATACAAATTTTGGAATAAAGCAATTATTTTCTCAACATAATCTCCTCTAAGCTCAAAAAAGGTTTCTGATGTCTACAGTTGGATCCATGTTGTGATCTCATGGTTACTTTTGTAGTTCAAAGTTAGCAAAGAGGTCACCCATATTATGCTCAATATTTTAATATTTTAAATTTGGACCACACGGTTTTTTCCGATGCCTATTGTCTCAGCTTATCTTACAGTCAATTTCATTCGATTACATCTTTATACAACTTTGGCGACCCTAGTAAAATGGCTTCATTGATATAAGCACCATACACTTTCGTAATACCCTTGGACTGTTGTTTAGCCAGCAGTACCAAATCCAAGCTTTAATGGCTCATAATATTAAGTAAAGGATAACTACTACTGAGGTTCTAAGGATGAAATAAAAAAAATTTTGTTCGACTTTGATATCGTATATTATTTATTACACTATTCAAACATCTCTATAATTAATACGAATTTTTATATACTGCACAAGGTTAGAGTAAACCTTCCGAACTTCGTTCTATATGTTAAGCACACCACTCGAAGTTGAAATGGGACACAATAAAAGCAGCATCTACTGGAACCAAATAAGTAGAAAAGCCATTATCATCATCAGGACAAAATTGGTTTGCAATATCTTTTCGGCAGAGGACTTTCGAAAGTAACCTGTTTTCTTTGACAAAACAAATACTTGCGAAGGGCCTTGAGCCGGTTGGGCTGGTTGAGCCTGTTGAAAAACTTGAACCGGTTGCATTGGTTGTGGGCCCGTTTGGACAGTTTGAGGTATTTGTACAGTTTGGACTGGTTGAACTGGCTGTGGGGGTTGGACTTGTTGAGGTTGTTGCACTACCTGGCCAGTTTGAGGGGCTTGAGCTGGCGGTTGAGCAGCTTGCTGAGGAGGTTGGACAAATCCAATTGGCTGACCAGCCTCAACGGATTGTTGGAAGCCTGCTGGTGGCTGCTGATTTGGCTGCGGAACATTTATTTGTACAGTTTGGACTGGTTGAACTGGCTGTGAGGGTTCAACTTGTGGAGGTTGTTGCACTTCTTGGACAGTTTGAGGGGCTTGAGCTGGCGGTTGAGTAGCTTGCTGAGGAGGTTGGACAAATCCAATTGGCTGACTAGCCACAACGGATTGTTGGAAGCCTGCTGGTTGCTGCTGATTTGGCTGCGGAATAGACGCTGGTTGCACTTGTTGAACAGCTGGCGCGACCGGTTGAGCTGGACCTACCACCGATGGCTGAACAATAAGCTAAAATGAAAATAGAAATAATATTTACAAGAGTGATGTTTGAAAATTAACGATTTACTCCAGCTTGTGCCACAGCAGCGTTTGCAACTTCTTGGGAATTATTTAATGGCGACTTATGTTGCTCTTCCGTTGGTGGATTCGGCTGATCAACGGCTTGTTGTATCCGTAAATAGGAGTCTTTAATACCATCCGCTGAAGCTTGTTTCGCTGCTTGTTCAACTATTCGCTTCGCCAAACTTTTCTGTATCTTCTTAATAAACGCGATAAATGGGTTTGACCGCTCTGTTGTCTGTGGAGTTGGTGCCGGTGGTGCGACTGGGATTTCTACAGATTGAGGTACTATCTTTTCAGATTGCTGTTGAGCCGAATGATTTGTAAATGGAACCGGATTTTGTTGTTGGGCGATAGACTGCTTATTTTGTTGTTGTACACTTGGGTATTGATAGGGCAAATGTGCGTGACTGGCAGGTTGCTGGGACCCAGCCACAGGCAGTTTCGGATATATAGGTGTATAGTAAGATGGTTGAGAATGAACTTGTTCAACTGATTGCTGCGGTTGCCCTTGGGAAGCAATAGGAGAAGGATGCCACTGAGGATGTAGTGGCTGTTGAGGTTGCTGCTGTTGATGCTGCAGATATTGTTGTTGGGGCTGCTGCTGTTGTTTTTGTAAATACTGTTGTTGATATTGCCTTTGCTGATGAGGCTGTTGCTGCGGTTGCTTCGGTTGCTGCTGCGGCACATATAAAATAGGCTACAACGTTTCTTGTTGCTGAGATGATCCTGTTTGTGTACTTACCATTTGTTGTTGTTGCGTCTGTTGCGGTTGTTGATATGGAAGGGGATCGCATACAATGTATTTAGTTTCAATGAATTTATTCCAGTCTTGTTTATCCCGTTCAGTTCTAATCTCTTTTCTACAATTTGGTGGCAAATGTTCGCTCATATCTAGTTTTTCCTTTTTCTCACGATGAGCGGCGACGGCGCGTCCTATCAAATGTCCCGCTGTCATGCCAGCTAAGGCGCTGAGCGCTAATGGAAAAAAAAAATTATAATAACAAAATAAAAAATAAAAATTATAAAAAATTAGTAAAACCAACTAAGGAAGGGCTAAGTTCGGGTGTAACCGAACATTTTTTACTTTTGCAACTTTCAAGGGTCAAAGCTGGGAAAATACCTAAAGCTATTAGGAAAACATTATTAAAAACAAGAAAGGAAAGGCTAAGTTCGGATGTAACCGAACATTTTATACTCTCGCAAAGTCAAATGGTATACTCGTTTCAGATTTCTTTGTGGATTGACTGATATTTTCGGTAGAAGGTCAACTATAGGCACAGTACTTAGGGGCTTGAACAGTTTTGGTTCGATTTAGACAATTTTTGGTCACAAGGTGGCATACTTTAAACGTATTATTCACGCAAAGTTTTACCCCGATATAATCATTGTTGCTTGATATGCATAGTGGAAAGTGAAAGAAACAGATGGAATTGAAAATGGTGTTATATGGGAAATCGGCGTGGTTGTACCCCGATTTCGCCCATTTTCGCACTATAATATAGAAATACGAAAAGAACGTTATGCACCGAATTTGGTTGAAATCGGTTAAGCAGATCCCAAGATATGGGTTTTCACCTAAAAGTGGGCGGTGCCACGCCCACTGACTAATTTTGAACGCGGTTCCTATAAAGTCATCTCATACCATCCCAGAGATAAAATTTAATATCTCTGGCTTGTTTATTGCTTGGTTTCGCGCTTTTAGTAGTTTTTAACAGTCCCGTTATATTGGGAGTGGGCGGGCTTGTCACCCGATTGCACCCATTTTCACACCGTCAATAGAAGTGCTAAAAACATTTGCTTCCAGTGAAATTTGTTATTATAGCATTAGCGGTTTAGAGATATGCACATTAAACCTATTAGAGGCGGTACCACGCCCACTTAAAAAAAATATTAACTGCAGATGCCCCTCCCTAATTTGATCCTGTGTACCAAATAACAGTCTTGTATCTTATTGCGGAGCTTAGTTATAGCAATTTATTTGTTTTTGACTAATGGCGTTTTGTGGGCGTGGCAGTGGCCCGATTACGCCCATCTGCAATACTACCTGTCTCACGGTACCAAGAAACATGTCTACCAAGTTTCATAAAGATATCTCAATTTTTACTCAAGTTAGAGCTTGCACGGACGGACGGACGGACGGACAGACAGTCACGCGGATTTCAACTCGTCTCTTCATCCTGATCATTTATATATATATAACCCTATATCTATCTCGATTAGTTTTAGGTGATACAAACAACCGTTAGGTGAACAAAACAAAAAAAATTATACTCTGTAGCAGGTTGCGAGAGTATAAAAAAAATGTTGCGAAACAATTTAACATTCATTATACGATGAAATTATAAATGGATTACGATCAAATTGGGTATTTTATTAATTTAGATTATATTTCATAGACTCTAAGTGAGTTGTTTTATTAATTTATTTTATTTCCCGTAAGTTAAAATTGTATTAAAATCATCTTTATATGAGATATATGGGATATAAACTCAATTGAAGAAGTTAAATTTAATATAATGTGTTTATGTAAAAACGTCAACCAAAGGATATGAATTCATTATTTTAGGGATAAAAGGTTTGGACCAATGTCTGAACCAATTTCTTTTCCCATACAATTTTTAAGAAAACTTGTTCTTTTAATTTTTATTAAAGTATCACACATTTTGTCAGATGGAAAGTAGTAGTTCGGCATTAAACTATAATATATCCAATATTAATCTGTTAAATTGGCAAAAATATCTTACATATTGACTGATAGGTATATGGCATAAGATCAACCGGAAGTTTGAAAATCTTATGTTGGGCATATAAGAGATAGGGGTAGTATTACCCGATTTTATCTATTCTGTGATTTGTTATATGTGGGCTAGAGCAAGTTTTCACCCGATATTATTTATTTCAGGCACAAAGGTACACTGTTATTAAGAAAATATGCTCTCTAATTTTTTTGAGTTAAATTACATATTGGCCGATATATGCGGTACAAAGTCACCCGGAAACTTTTTATATTAGGTATATGGGGCTAAGAGAAATGTTGATTTTGCTAATTTTTTATACTCAGGCATACTAGAATCAGAAAATCATTCTCTCCGAATTTCAATTATATATCACACACATTGAGCGATATTTTCAGTAAAAAGTCAACTATAGGTTGACCATATTCGGTACCTAGGGCTTGAACAGTTTTGGTTCGATTTGGACAATTTTTGTTCATAAAGTGGCACACTTTAGAGGGACAAATCGTGCTAAATTTTATCCCAATATATGAATTGGTACTTTATTTGTATACTGTAATATGAAAGAATCAGATGGATTTAAAAATGTGCTGTATGGGAAAGTAGGCGCGGTTGCGATCCGATTTACTCCATTTTTACACTGTAAACAATTTTGATATCGGCTCTTATAAAGCCCTTTTGTGCCATCTTGGGTGTAAAATTTTATGTCTCTGACGCATTTAGTTATTGATTTGTCAACTTTTTAGTAGTTTTTAATAAAACCGGTATGTGTGGAGTGGGCGGAGTTATCATCCGATTTCACCTATTTTCACACTATCGTAAGAAGGTTTGAAAATATTTGTTGTGTGCAAATTTGGGTGATATAGCTTTATTGGTTTCGGAGATATATATATTAAACTTGGAAGAGGGCGGATCCATGCCCACTTTTTCAAAACCACTGGTGCCCCTCCTTAATTAAATTCGTTGTACCAAATTTGAGTTTTGTATCCTAATTTACGGCTTAGTTATAGCACTTTATACGTTTTAGATTAATCGCGTTTTGTGACCTAACCTCACTTTGCATTTCATCATCGTATTAACCGTTAACCCGCAATACAATGAAGTTAAATATCTTATAGTATTAAAAAATTTATTATTTGCTATTTTAACCTACCCATATTTGTTTTCTTTCCAGGCATAGGCTTACTTTCTGCCCCCGGTGGCATGAAGGTCTGCAACAATACCAAAACGGCGAACCAACGACAGAAGGTCACGTACTTCATATACATTTTAGTGTCTATATATGCTTCTACACTTTTATATATAAGATTTAAATGTATAATTTCGAAAGTCCGATTTTCGAAATTTCCGCTACTTCGCTGATCGACAATAACACCTCGCCTTTTGGGCTAAAACTGACACATTTTGGCTGTTGGCTAGGGTTTTGGCATTCAGAGTGAAGTACCGTGTGACGTTGGTCTTTCTGTCACCTTTTGAGTGTTGATTCCGCTACTATCGCATGACGGCATAATTAGAGTTCATACATAGATGCGGTACTGTCGGTTTAAGCGACTTTTGGAACTTTCTACTGCAGCTTCACTTCAAGTTTGCTGCGCTTCGTCGGAGGCAGTGCGTAACGTGCGCGTTTTAACCAAATATTGACTTCATATTCGTTTGAACAGTTGCTTTGTGTATTTTTGAACAAAATTTCTAAAATTGAAGGCGCAATATAGCGTTGGACAAGGCATTTTGTGGGTTTATTTAATAATTTGTTTATAACTTTTTTTTTTAATTCTAAGTGCGGAAAAGTTGCTTTTTGCAGTCTTTTGAACTTAGTTCAGCAGATCTCAATTAAAATGCATCAGTAGGCGCGATAAAACAAATATATGATTATTTATAAATAATTAAGCAAATAATTTATTTAAAAAGTATATATTATATAACATTTGCTTCAGACTGTACTGTGTTGATATTAAATGACCTTCAAAATAGATTTACTATCTATGATAGGAGATCAAGAAACATGCGGGTTTTTATTTGCACTTCTGCATAGATGTCAAAAAATATATAGTTCTGTATATATATACTCATATGTATTGGCTTCTTAGTAACAAAAAGCACAATATTCATAACACACTTTTCCTCCCAAGAAAAAGGAAGATTGATTCTTTGGACTATACTACCAGCAAAGATTTCAAATAACTGTTTTGATCTTTCATCGGCTGTAATTCCATCTCCATTCTACAAGTCCTGGACCTCGTTCAAACACCTTAGTTGTTCATTGCTCGAAGCCATTTCTGTAAGCCAAAAAACAGTTTATATTTCTAGATCTCACAAAACAGGCTTAACATTTACTAATTATTCTGGGAGTAAGCTAAATGGAATTGAATTTATCTTTATATGGCTTTATCAAAAATCTATTTAAGTCTTAAAAACTGTTAGAAAGGTTGAAGTTTTTGCTCACAAAATTCACGGTAAATTTTGTATAAAAAAGAGTACAATACTCGCTTGATTTGAAAAATATAATTTATTGTGTGCAATATGCTGAAACTGACGGATCCAAGCGATTCGAAATTCATCCGTCTATTTTTCACTATCCTATCAATTGCATAATGTCTTTATGTGTTTGAAGTGTACTTTAAGCTAAGGCAAATATATTTTTTTAAATCTTAGCATAAATCTCTAACAACTCCACTTGCATTACCATTTCTTGCTGTTTATTCTAGAATGCATACCCTAACAAAATATATATATTCTAAATAATCTCCCTCTTATTACACCCTCGTGTAATACTCAAACCTACCTGGTTACTTCTTTAGTAAAGAAAGATAAACTTTTGATTGTAAAAGATCGAGCACGTTAAATCGCCGTGTGGGTTCTGGTATCTGTTTCAGTTAAAATAAAACATAATTGAACCTCATTATAAAATCTCTCACTATTTATAGGTCCTTCTTAACTTTGAAAGCCTTGATAATGGCTCTCAACGAAAATTTGCTGATTCAAAACCGTTTGAATAAAAAGGTTTTGAGAAGCAAAAGAAATTATAAGAGGTTTCCGTCTAAAACGGAAATCACATATTTTGTGATTCGAAGAATTGTCGAATGCGAGGAATATATTTCTAACATGAAAACACACACGAAAAATTCGTTAATTTATAGAAAATATAATTTTACTGAAAATCGAATATTGCGGTTCCAGGAATAAGTTTTTCAATCAGACTCGGAGAGTTTCTGGGTTAAGAAATAATATCTAAAAATTTTCGGTCTTTGAACTTCGAATATGCTCAACCTAACATAAAAATCTACAGATAACAGTAAACCATAAGTTTTTCCTGTTTAAAATCGAACTATTCATTTCTATGGATATATTTTTATTACATTAGACACGTTTTAATTATGTATATTATACTATATATATATCATTAACCACCGATATCGGACCACTATAAAATATAGCTGCCATACAAGCTGAGCGGTCAAAATCAAGATAAAATCTTTTTATAAACTTTTATATTATGCACCTGTGAAGGGTATTACTGCCGAAATTAACCATTTTTTCTTGTTTTGATATCCTTGGTTAAGCTAGGCGTATGAGTAACCGAAAAGTCCCCCCATACTACGTAGGTAAAGTCAGTGCGTTGCAAATGTTTCTTTTAAGCTTTAGAGAGTTAATATACAATATTTACATAATTTTGTCTATTTTTATGATTTAATAAAGTAATATTTTTATTTTTTTTTTAAAGTCTTTTTCCTCCTTCGGCTCAATTATGCCATACATATACTGTAAAAATCCACTAACAACAAAAGAGCTGCAACACCTGTGATTTTCCCACGTTGCTGTTTGCAAAACAAACCGAGGTTCTAGTCACCATACATACACAATCACACACACCTACACGCGTTTAGATTTTGCTATTTGCTTTCGCGAAGTTCTAATGCAATGTCGTGTAACGCCCCGAAGTGCGCTTATGGCAAAAGGTGTTAATACAGTATTTGCATTTTGCATTTACGTAAAGTGAGAACAAAACAAACAAAAGCAAACGGAAAAACCAACAAAACAACAATTAAATTAGTGGTAAATGCTGGTTCAACAATAACCACAAGGAAATGGAACACACGCACACACTTGTATATATAAATATATTGCAAAAAGCTCGCAGCTAAATGTCATTGCAACACATCTGCATACAGACAGGGTGACACAATTTGTATGAAAACTACTTCTCGTTAACAAATTTTGTGCTGTAAGGGTGTGGGAAAATATTTATTCTTCTTTCTGAGCTGCTGTGAATGATCCTCTCCTCTCTAAAAGTGAAAAGAATTAATATAGATTTGTCGAACTCGAACCTATGGTAAAAAAAATTCAAATTATTCATTTTTATAACAAAAATAAAAAAAGAGCGCCATTTGTTCGTTACATCGAATTTCTGGAATCTTGGAAGAGGCTTTGCGATTTGAAATGATGTAGCCTCTCAAGGAAAAACCGAGTTCGGTACAGAGTTACAAAGAATGTATAATTTTGACCATCAAAATCGACCTAAAATAATTTTATATAGTAGATTAAAGACGGATGGATTAATCTCACTCAAAGACCTTATGAATTGAAAGCTTAACATAGAAACAGAAAGCTCAAAAAAATATATGGAAGTCAGAATCAAGAGTTTTGGAAGAAGATCTCTCTCCATTCTTATATGAATACAATTTCTTAATGAAGAAAAGATATATTAGGATATAAGAAGATGGTAGCGACTCTGTAAACGTCGAAGACCCTATAAAGTATACATATAATATATAAATTATTAGCGCGCCGAGTAGAGTCGATTTAGCCATGTTCGTCTGTCTATCCGTCGGTCTGTTCTGCGTATATAAGCGAACTAGTCTCTCAGTTTTAAAGATATCGATCTGAAATTTTACATACGTCCCCAAAAAGCTGTTTATTTGTCGCCGCCGTCAATATGCGACCACTTTAAGATATAACTGTCATACAAACTGCTCGATAAAGATAAATTCTTTGTATGGAAAACTTTTTATTTGACAAGTTATCTCCATGAAATTTGCTATAAATTATTGCTCAAGACAACGCTACAAACTCCGAAGAAATTGTTTAGATGAGATTATTATAGCATATAGCTGCCATTCAAACTGACTAATCAGGCTATATGAAAGGCACCTGTGAAAGGTATTATACATGGGGTGCTGCCGAAATGAAGTTTGTTTTTCGATTTCTGATCAGGAAGTATCAGAAAAATATTCCAGGGCTGCCATTGCAACAAAACCGACGAATGAAGTTATCAAACCTACCATGCAGCTTGTCACTGCACGCTTACTCTCTTCCATTCCCATCTTACCTGCACGTAATTGGTGACCCTTTAATTTAAATTGTTTTTGTTACTATTTTCTGTTTGAGCTTACCGTTTTTACGCATGCTGCAACCATTGTGACCTTGAAGAATTACATATACACATACATAGCTGTATATCAATAAATGTACATATATACATATAAATGTAAGCGGATAGGTGTAACTACGCAGCATTTCCGGGGCAACAACAACAATGAGCGTATAACAGGTGCCAACAACAAAAAGTCAACACCTGCAGATATATACACACATATACATATACATATGTAAAAACATACATACATAAGTATGTATATTTAAGTTGCTTTCTGCGAATTCACGCAATAAAATCATAACAAACCTGCAATAGAGCGAGCGGTGGAGTAGTGCTGAGCTGAAAAGGTTCATGCGAAACAAGTACAAAAGAAATTTCATGTGACATTGGGCAAAACCTACAATAACAACTGCACCGTTGTGCATGTGCATACGTATGTACATATGTGTGTGAGTGTATGTGCAAGACAACATTGGCTGCAACAGTCATAACAGTAAAACGCACAAACGTCATCAAATCGGGTGCAAAAGACCAAAAGGCAAAGAGGCAGTTGGCAAAGTGATAAAATGGAAAGATGAGATTCAAAGAGGACAAATATAGACATATGTACGTACAAATATGAATGTACAAACAGTTGACCATGATGATTAACAGCGGCGTTACAGAGTTATGTTATAAAGTGGAAATGTAAACACAATAAGATAATTGAAAAGCGATTTACATATAAAAATACTTTGACTAAATTTTTGATTTGATTTTTTTAAAATAATTTTCAATTTTTAAAATTTTTTTTAAATGTTTTTATTCTGTATTTTTTGTTTTTTTAAGTAATTTATACTTCTGCGATAACAGCAAACAACGATTTTCCGCCTTTAACAACATTTTCGACCAAATGTTCCAACAAACTATGTAAAGTAACGTCTAACAGAGACCTTTGTTGCACAGTGAGAGCCACTTTTGAGAGAACTACAGGAATTTGCTGAATACGAGTGGCCTTTTAGAATGTTAGTTGGAGGGGTTGATAAAGGTTAGGGTTGTTCTTGTCATTCCGTTTCGATAAAGTCTTGTGAAATGTTTTGATATTTCAATGTATGAAGGTCTGAAGTAGAAATTAGCGTTGTATGGAAGATTTTATAATATATGTATGGATAGATAAACAAGTAGGGAGTCCGATACCACCAAACTTGTAGTATATTTGAAACCGTAAAAGCTGATGTTCTAATGGAATGACAAAGACAGGATAAGAATTCTTTAAAAATTCTTAGCTAATTTTCTGAAGACCGATGATAATTTCCTTAGGAAACAGTGTAAGACAACGTGTGAGACAACAAATCTAGCCCATACAAATCTCAAGTTCAATTGTAAGACAAATCCATGTTGTTTCTTAAGAAACTCCACTTCTATTACATTAACACTTATAAATGCAATATTTCCCATTGGAACAAGTTAGGTTAGGTTAAAAAGGTCGATCTATAAGTTCCTCATAAATCGAAAAAGCGCTGTGAGCCTACCACTGATTTCTTGAGACGGCGAATATCAGTTTCGGTTTGTATGAATGCGGAGAGTCATACAAAAGCTGGACAAAGGAGGAGAAAGTGCTTATCGCAAGGATGCCTATTGGATACTTTGCAGTAAAAACCTTGAGGATTGAGTAGTTCAGTAGATGTGCTGTGTTCTACTCTAGGCCAGAAGGGTCTCGCAGCCGCACAGGTGCTGGGCATCGACCAACGCTTGCTAACGACTTTCGAATAAAATATTAAAATGTATTGCAGTTACTTAATTATGTATGTAGGCCAAGAAGTATGCGAAAAGCTTTTCTTCGATATAAATATATGTATAAAAGCTCAGGACATATGGAGCTTTTGAATAAAGTTTTCGTAAAAATTTCCTTTCGGGAAAATAATATATTACAAATTGACATACAGACATGTATCAGAGAACAATAGCAATAAAAAGTACCTGCAATAAAATGTCTCCACTTAAAAAATGTCCTTATATAGCAGGGAATTATTAACAGACAGTTATATTAACAGGGGAATATGACGATAGATGTCAGGCAAAGCAAAATTTTCGCTATAAAGAAAAATCGGAGAAAAGGAAGTTTTCCAAACACATATGCTTTTATCTCTCCGAAAATCAAAGCTTCAGAGGCATCAGCGGAACATTGTTTTAGATAATTTGTTAGTTGTAACGAATAAATATTGGCGTCAGCTACTACATTAAAAATATTAATATTTCCCATTTAAAAAAGTGTTTATTGTCAAATTTTAATTTAACCACTTTTGCAACATTTAAACTTTTATTTGTATGTCTCTATTTATTAACAATTTCCTACTAACATTTAATTTAAAAACTAACACAAATATTTTGTAATAAATTTTAAAACAAATAAATTAAAAAAAATAGGATTCTTTGGCCATTCGACTTTGTTATTGTTGGTGGAGAAATGCCTGTTTGGAAACTTAATTTCAATAGGTCACAAATGTTGTATAAAAATGCATTTTTGTCAAATTTTCAGTCAACCAAAATGAAGCGAGCTGCTCCCAGGAACTTCAATGCAATGCCGCCACAGCTTTGTGAGCTGCGTCATCCAAATCCACCGCTGTTTGAATGGCCAAACCAGAATCTTTTAGTATTTTTCTGGCCTCATCCACATTTGTGCCTTCCAAGCGCACAATAAGCGGTACTTTCAGATCAAGGGTTTTGGAGGCAGCAACAACTCCATTAGCAATGGTGGCACAATTCACAATACCACCAAAGACATTTACAAGTATAGCTTTTACTTTCGTATCAGATGTAACTATTTGGAAGGCTTTCAGCACTTGATTCTCTTTAACGCCACCGCCAACGTCGAGAAAATTTGCTGGCTCACCGCCATTCAACTTAATTATGTCCATCGTGGCCATGGCGAGACCAGCGCCATTTACCAGACAACCAATATTTCCGTCCATAGCCACGTAATTGAGATTATTTTTGGCTGCTTCCACTTCACGTGGATCTGTATCCTCTTCGGCAGTGTGCATAGCGAAAATATCTTTTTGCCGATACTCCGCATTATCATCGAAGTTTAACTTAGCATCAACGGCGATTACTTCATTTGTATCCGTTTCAGCTAACGGGTTAATCTCGATTTGTGTGGCATCGACAGCTTTGAAGAGATCGAAGAGCTTTTGTATTTCTTCAGCAGCACGTTCTACGCATTGTCCTTTAAACTCGAGGAATTTCGCAATTTCGATGAGTGTATTTTGTGGTATTGGCTTGGCTAGATCTAGAGGTACAGTCTTGATTTTCTCTGGTGTTTTTTCGGCGACCGCTTCGATATCCATACCACCAGCAGGCGAGGCAATAAGCACTGGTCCATTGTGTTCACGATCCAATACTATTGATAGATATGTTTCACGTGTGATATTTACGCTGCGTGCTACCATCACTTTTTTAACTAATATTCCTGATTTTGGTGTTTGCTTGGTGATAAGCCGATTACCAATCATTTGTTTGGTAAGCGACAGGACGTCATCCTTCCTAAGAGCGTAATAAAAAACGTTGTTTATAAATGTTATGGACATACATTAAGGAGTATAATACTGACTTCGTGGTAAGATGTACTCCTCCTTTGAATCCATTATCAAAAACACCCTTACCGCGACCGCCTGCCAGTATTTGTGCCTTCACGACATATTCCGAGCAATCTGTAGTTATAAATAATAAAAATGTCATGTAATAATCTTATTTAAACTAAGCAAACAATTACATGCTTACCAAACTGGTTTATTAACTGCGCATCGTTGGGCGAATTTTCTAATACTTTGAACTCTTGTATAGCGACACCAAATTTTTGCAACAGTTCCTTGCTGTTGCACTCGAGCAAATTTAAATGACGCACTTGCTGCAGACGTGTTGTCTAAAATATGCAATATAATGGTTCAGTTGATAAATATAAGTTTTGTTACCGATTATGTAGCTATCAGCGCAACTTAACCTTTTGGAGTATCCGCATGGCGGGAGCGAAGCCGGCAGCAGCGCGTAAAAGAGGCAGCATTTTTTTATATTAATAGTTAAAGAAAAATAGTAAATAATAGAGAAATAGTTTAGTGAAAATTCACTAAACAGTCTATAATTAAGTTTAATAGTGAAAAGTTAGGTAGGCAGCAGTACTTTGAACTTCTATTTATTATTGCTAATTTAAATGATAGAGTAGGTATTTGTTATCAAATGTTTATATTTTTAGGCAAATTGAGAGAGAAGAGAGTTAATCTAACAGCGGATGTAGAGAAGTATTTTGATAGCACTATATATAACAATATTTTAAACAAAAAAATGTTTTAATACAAAATAATCAAAATAATAGTGTACCATCGGGTTTTTCTAAAGGATATATAGACGAATGTTGTTTTAAAATAAGCTTTACTTTAAGCTGCATGTGCACTTATATTTTAAACTTTTTAAAATTTCTCAGAAAACATGGCAACTGCAACTATAGCGAACAGCTGTGTTAGCTGTTTTTGTTTTTTTTTTCTGCAAACTTTGGACACCTATACAAAAGTGATTATTTAAGTTTTATTTATAATACAGTACACATTAAACAGCTCAGGAATTAATGCGACCAATATTAAATATAATTTAATGTCATGAACGATAGCAGCGAAATTGAGAGCAGCCAAGGCACTGCGGACACACCTCTCCCATTGCCGCATATACCGATAGTGACATCAGTCAGTTGCTGTCTCATACTTTCTGTCATATATGTAGCCAGTTTATATATTTGGAATACCAAACATAATCGGGATCACCCAGCGACGGTAAAGCGACGCTTCGTCAGCGTTATCATTGTTATGCTCATAGCACCATTTTTCGTATATAAATTTTCTTCACGAGAGCTACTGGAGCGTGCTTCATTTGCAGAAATTTTGGGTTTGAGATGGCAGGGACTCTTCCTAGCCATTACAGTGCCATATTTGCTGACAATGCTATTATTTTTGGGTCCACTGTGCGTGCAGGTGCAAAATGAATCTTTAAAAATGTTTTTGGGTAAGCTTGTGGTTTGTTAGCATGGCATTCTTATAGATATTTTTTTTTGTTTTTGATTCTACAGATACTGATTTTTGGATTGGTTCATTCAAAAATATACTTTGGATACGAAACCATGTTATGGCACCAATCAGTGAAGAATTCGTCTTTCGCGCATGTATGATGCCACTAATTTTGCAGAGTTTTTCACCCTTGACAGCTGTGTTCATTACACCACTATTCTTTGGTACCGCGCACATACACCATATTGGGGAACGCCTCAGCTTGGGTATGGAATTGAAAACTGCCTTAGTGATATCATGTAAGTTGCATAAATATTTCTGCAAATCTTTATTTATTTTTATTATAAATAAATTATTTTGCCAGGCTTTCAGTTAACTTACACCACAGTCTTTGGTTTCTACTCGGCTTTTCTCTTTGCGCGCACCGGTCATTTTGTCGCACCATTCCTTGTGCATGCATTTTGTAATCATATGGGCTTACCTGATGTCCAAGAGCTGTGGCAACAACATTTAGTACGTCGCATTCTACTTATTTTATGCTACATTGTGGGTTTTGTTGGTTGGATCATATTGCTGCCAATCGCCACACAGCCTTCACTATATTCTAACAATTTGTATTGGAATAATTAAAATAATGAACAAAGTAGCAACAATTGAAATTACATTAGTACATAAATATTGAAAGTGATCGATATTCATTAAGCATAATTTTATATGTTTAATTACGAAATAAAAATATGTTTCATACATACATACATTTATGACTTTTAGTAATAAAATTTTTCGTTTCTCTTTTTTTATACAAGTAAGCTTTTCGATGGCAGCATTTTATTTGTATTTTAAAGTTATAACAACGTTTTGTGTGTTACCAAATCCGGTTGTCAATTTTATTTAAGTGATAAATAAAATTTTATATGCATACTAGGTCATCATATCATTTACTTTAACCTTTCAATGCAGTTTCTAATTCATTATTTGCTTTAAGCTCTTTAATAATGTCCAAGCCACCAATCAGTTCACCCTTAACATATACTTGTGGATACGTGGGCCAATCGGAATATGTTTTGAGACCTTGACGGACTTCTTCATCATTCAATATATCGAATGTCTCATAGGGAACACTGGAAAAATATAATATTCTTAGTATTGCAAAATTTTTAAAGGCTTGATTTTACAAACTTTGTGGCATTCAAGATTTCAATTAACTGGCGGGAGAAACCACAACGTGGAGCATTGCGATCGCCCTTCATGAATATCATAAGATCCGCTTTAGTGATGAGGGCTTTCAAACGATCCTCTAAAGATTCACCGGCTACAGAGCCACCAAGTTTTTTACACTTTGCTGTAATTTCAGCTACATTGACACCATCCACGCGATCCACTGCGGTCCCTTTGGTGAAGAAAATTATGGTGGGGACTGCTTCAATCTAATAAGTTTGTATATTTATTTTGAAGTGTTTTTGTTATAGCATATACTCTGTGAACTTGAAGTACCTGGTGCTTGATAGAAATTTCTGGAAAGTTTTCGGCCACCACACTAACAAACTGCAATTTGTTACTTAGGATTTTGGTTAGCTCCTCCAGAGCTTCCTGGACATGTTTACACTGTTCAGCCCAATCGGCTGTAAATAGCACTACTGTAGTCTTCTCCGCACTTGTGTATACATAAGCAATTGGTTAGTGTCTATCAATTATTCTGACAAAGATTACTTACTTGATCAGTGTGTTGTACTGGTCGGCATCTTTAACTGAAATAATTGAATTGCTGGCGGACATATTTATAGTTTTTGTTCAATTTGTTTGTTTATTAAATTGTACGTTATGACTTTTTATGAAATTCTCGCCAGGAAGACACAAAGTTTAGCAGCGAGCGAGGTTTTTGGGTTATGGTCAAGCAAATGTCAGAAATGTCAAATTGATTTGGAATACTAAAGCGTTGTTGCCGTATTATTCGTGAAATTATAGTCAAATTATACTAGTTTCTTAAATATTATTAACTTTTGAATTCATCACAAGTTTGGAGTAAATTTTTAGCTTTATTGACAACAACAACAACATATAACAAAATACTATCTCAATTAATGAATAAAGCAGTACTTATTTATGCAACCCTCAACACCACAAATACTACGACAAGTGATTTTGTGTTCCACCGCAAACAGATGAGGTACACACAAATTTTATATCTGTTCAAAATAAAACATATGTATTTTATGTTAATGTGGCGAAAGTTTAATTAAAAATCTAACTCTTTTAGCACGCTGCCATGTCAAAGCCATCTATATTAATAATAGAACCGTTTTATGGAGGTAGCCACAAGCAGCTGATCGATACTATCATCGAGTGTGAGTAGTGAATAGCACAGTGCCGGTTGCACCACTTCCACTTCCGCTGCATATTTTACATATTCATCTCTATAATTTAATAGGTTTAAACATCTGTGACTATGAAATATTTAGTCTTCCAGCAAAGAAATGGCATTGGCGTGCGCGTACCGGCGCGTTATACTTTTCACAAATCATACCGGTTGATCATGAATACAAAGTGCTTTTTACCAGCTCAGTGCTGAACTTGGCTGAGCTCTTAGGTGTACGTCCAGATTTGGTTAATTGTAAAAAGATTGTTTATTTTCACGAAAATCAATTAGTCTATCCTGTGCGTGAAGTAAAGGAGCGCGACTGTCAATATGGTTTGAACCAAATACTAACATGGTGCGTGCTTATATATAATTTTTATTTCATAGCATTAATTATGTCATTGCCCACTTACACAGCCTTTCTGCCGACAATATAATTTTCAATTCAAATTTCAACCGTACATCCTTCCTGGATAGCATAACACCCTTTCTCAACATACAACCTGATTTTAAATTGAAACATATACGCGATAAAATTGAGAAGAAATGTGAAGTGCTATACTATCCTATTAAATTCCATGCTTTCCCCAATAAACGACTGATGATTGGTGGTGCGGAGCCATCTCTAACCGCACTGATGAGTGATAAAGACTGTTTGCATCTGATTTGGCCACATCGTTGGGAGCACGATAAGAATCCAAAACTGTTGGTGGAGGTACTATTGGAATTGAACAAACGACAAGTGGACTTTAAAGTGACAATATGTGGCGAAAATTATCAGGCAGCACCAGAGTCCTTTGACGGTTTACAAGATAAGTTGGGTGCCAAGCTAATAAATTTTGGTTTCTTGCCGCGTGACAAATATATAAAAACGTTGTTGTCTGGTGATGTTGTAATCTCGACGGCGGGACATGAGTTCTATGGTGTCGCTATGTAAGTGCAATAATTTTTGAAATATTATATATAAGTGAAATGTTCCTGTATATTTATTGCAGGCTTGAAGCAACGTACTGCGGCTGTATGCCCATAGCGCCGAATAAACTTGTTTACCCGGAAATATACCCCAAAGAGAATCTCTACAATACTTCCAATCAGCTAATAAAAATGCTTTACAATTGGTGTCGCAATCCGGAACTGTTTCGGCGTCAAAGAGACACATTTTTTGAATATTTTACATTCGATCGCTACTCAGCGCAACATTTAGTGCCTAAATTCCTAGAGAAATTGCGCATTTAATGACGCACTTCCTTCACATGCCAGTTTATAGGTTTTGTGCAATATCTGGCAAAGCAAAAATTATCATATACATGTAAGTTGTATAACAATAATCGAATGAAAAACGATCTAAAACTATGTGTTGCTATGCAAACTTATCAACTAACTGCAACAGATTGCAGTTTCGTCACAGGTGACGAAAATTATAGATCAACTAAAAACTATGTTAATAGATGTAAATTAGCAGCCTGAAAATTTACAAAAAAATTTACATAGAAAAAAATTAGTATACAAATTGACATACATACATATATATTTTTATCCTATTAGAGGGTAGGTAAAACTCAAAAATCATTGAAATTTGTTAAACTACAAACTTAGATTTTGCTTTGGTGAATATAAAAACAAATATATTAATTATTTTACAGTTAAAGTTTAATATATGTAATTGTTTGTTGTTTTTTAAGCATATACAATTGTTCAAATCATATCTTTAAAATATATATCTTCAATATGCTAAGCTATTATAAAGTAATTATAGCAAAATCATTCACCTTTTAGAAGTTTTATACGTGCTTTTGATTTTTTTTTACTCCCCATTGTTTTAATACCAGCTTAATGAATAATGCAAATAAATTTGTGTAACATACATGTCTGTACCAATTAAATGTACGAATACACAAATACAAACATAAAAGGATTTTTTGGTTAAGTTCCGCTTGCATTGCACTGTTGTTTTATGCTAAAAGTGATTTTCTTTGAACTTTGGTGGCGTCGAATAGGGCACCTTTTCATGCGCACGATACTCCTCATCATCGGCATGGCACTCGCGATAGCATTGCGCACAAAAGAGTTCACCATCACAACCTTTGCAACGAAACACCGCATCTTCGTTGCAGATATTGCACCAGGGCAGCTCTTCCAAGTCGGTTGGACGGGTGCCTGCTGGAGGAGGCGGCACACCAGCTGTCAGCTCTGTTTCAAGTTCAGTGGGCAGGCGTGATTCTGCCAAATACTATGGAAGAAGATTGAGTTTTAATATATTTTATTATCTTGTGCACATGTACCTTTGTCATAACGGCTTTCAAGACCATTTCATCGTCTTCATTATCACTAGGTGTGTTGTTGTCTGGCGAATGCTCTTTTTGTGTTAAGCCTATACCATCTACTGACTGCTCTCTTAGCGCTCTCAAGCGTCGCTCAATATCCGAAATAGCGTCATTGCGTTCGTCCGCTATTTGACGATCGATTTGCGCTTCGCCCATAAATTGTTCTAAAAGATCTTGCATCTTCTGCTGGTCTGTACGTTCATCTGTGGAGAGCAGTACATCTTTCTTGGAGTAATCCTTTTGTGGCATGCCATTTAGCATAGCGAGTCTGGCGCGTATCTCTTCATCCGTAGAAGGATTTTCAATAGTTTTTAGATCTTTTAGGCGTTTGGAAATTACAGAATCCAGATTTTCTTCAATTTCCGAGTTTTCTGCATTGGAATGTGTAGCATCAGCAGTAGTAGCAGTAGCATTTGAGATTGGAGCCAACACTTCACCCAAGTCAGGCGGTGGGTCATCTCTAAAAAAGTTAAATTAATTATACATTATTGTGCAATATCCATACATAAATGCTATCTTTCATACTCTAACAAAGCTGCAGCTGCTGCCACGAGCGGGTCAGTACTGTTATTGCCCTTTGACTTTGTAACCAAAACGCCAGGCAATGCTTCTACGTCAATGACCTTTTCAGTCGCTTGCAACTTGGAAAGTTTATCGCAACATATTAAGCACACGTTCAACACTTTACCACCGTGTCGTGGTACAGGCATAGGACGTTTCAGACATTTAATGCAGTAGGAGTAGCCACAACTGGGACAGCCGTGCTGTAATCGATATAATATAAAAAAAAATGTTAAAGCTCGAAAATTTACTCTGATTTTATTGCAATTGATAAATACCTCTTTTGTGAAAAGTCCATATTTCTTACCGCAGCCAAAGCAGGACATTTTTTATACTAAATATTCACATAAAATCTTTTTAAATTATATTCTAATAGTTTTTAAATCGAAGATTTGATAAATCTATATTATCATAAAGACAATGGATTATTCATCGCTAATTAGACAACAATAACAGTCAGCTGTTGTTTACTAAACAGAGTAGTCGCGACATCTACATGTCAGCTTGTATCGTTCACATTTACCGGTTGTGCTAAACAGCTGTTGGCGTCAGTTTCCGCGGATATGTAATTTATAATAATTGTTCGTAAAAGTGACGCTTTGCTCAAAAATTTATTTAAAAGTCATTAGTGTGTAGTAGTGAAAATTTGTTAATATTTGTACTCGTTCTTGGTGCGTGCGTGTAGTTAAAAGTAGTGAGATTCGAGTTTCGTTCGAAAAGAGCTATTTTGCAGTGAAAATGCAAGTTTTGCCTGTATTTGTCTGTAGTGTTACTTAAGCATCCGGCGGATGCAGCCACCTGCAATTTGGGTTGCTTCCGCGAATCATTCGCCCTAACCACACAATGGCACACCAATTGGTAAGTGTTTGTAGGTTTTTTACTGTAGTGTTTGTGTAAGAAATATTTTCACGCATGGAAATGAATATACATTCATACATATGTTGGTTTATATATAAATGTATGCTGGCTATACGAATACATATGTGTGTTTGCTTACTATGCAAGTGCATAGCAAAAATTGAAAGAATATCCGTAAAAAATGTGCAACAGACGAAAATAAATTTAAATAGTTAAAAAATATTATGAAAAATCTAATAAATAATAAATGATTTGCAAGTATTAAAATAATGTTTTATATATATTTTATAAAAATAAATTATTATTAATGTCAAAAAAGTAAAAAAAAAAAATTATAAAAAATAAAATAATAAATAATTTGTAAGTAAGTAAAGACCACACAAGCTAATTATAAGTCCATTACGTCGAAAATCAATCTGAACCGACAACATACGACGAATTTTGCGAACAACGACCTTATAAATAAATCATTTAAAATACATATTATTATAAAAAATAATTGTATTAACATTTGAATTAATTTTTTTTTATTTTGTAATCCCGAAGATCTTATTAAAAATAATTTTCAAATTTCAAATACCGGCTTGAAAAATAAAAAAAAAATTTATAATCTCAAAAAACGTATTAAAAATTAAATATGACATTTATAATACCAAATATCGGATTGAAAAAAAACACGTTTATAAATACAATTCCCACAACAGTCGGTTCTGCGATACCGGAATTGACCCGGATTTTATCCGGCCAAGGGCTGTTATTTCGACGATCTAACCCTGTTTGGATCGGTAAGTTTTAGATTAAGTTTGTCGTCACCGCCCATGCGGATAGCACAGCTGCAACAACCACCACCTACACGCACCCCACTCACCTCCAGGATCACGACTGGACACCCGCGACAAACGCGACTCTTACAATTTAACTGCAACGGACTCCAGAGCAAGATCGAGGAGATAGTTGCATTTATGAGCCGGGAGCGCGTAACGATAGCTGCGGTCCAAGAAACCAAGTTAAACAGCCGCTCAGATCTTCTGAGTTGTGCAGGTTTCAACGTTTTACGTAAGGATCGCGAGCGAGATAATGGTGGAGGCCTAGCCTTCATATTGCACAACACCGTGCAATATCGTCTAATCGATGTTGACATCGACCGCAGGGACACTACCCTAGAATGTCAGGGAATAGCTGTCCGGTCA